CCTTTTCTACCTTTCTCAGTAGTAGAGGGAAGAACATTCACACTGTTGCACAAAGTTTGTCTCCAGTGCATCTGTTTTGCAAACAAAAACTCTAAAGCCAATGTCCTTTCTATATTTTTAAATAATTGTTTTGAATTTATATTCTTTTTTCATCCTATAAGAAATATTTGCTATTTCTATGTGTATTCTTTCTTCCTTTGATTTCAACTCACCTTCTAGTGTATGACTGTTCTGGAGTTAGCAACGAATCTGTAGTAAAATAGTGCAATGATGTGATATATTCATACATATAATTTAATCATTCACTGACAAGTATATTTAGTTTTTTGCCTGTGTTTGCTGTTATTAAATGTGTATGATATTGTTATAGTATATGCTGACTATGTTTGCATAGATTGTTTCAGTATATATCATATAGCCAGAATGTAAATATATTTTTTATAGTTTCATTCAAGCAATCAAAAATTTTAATTTTCGATCGAGCAAAGAATTTATATGATAATTTGGTAATGAAAAGACAAATATTTTAGCAAATGAAAGACTTTTTTTAAAAAAAAGATTTCATGTAACTTTGAGTGCAAATATTGTGTGTGCAACTAAAAAGGTATTATTGGTGAGTAATACCATATGTTATTTTTTTCCTCTTTTTCTTTCATTTTCCCACTCTTACTAACAATGCTGTTTTCCTTTTTATAGGAAATGGGAATCTTTCTTTCTTTTGTTTTTTTGGTTTTTCTCCGGTACCGGGAACCGAACTCATGACCTTGCGCTTGCCAGGCAGGCGCTTTTTGCCGCTGAGCTAAATCCCCAGCCCCTGGGAATCTTTCACATATAAGGATGAACTATATTAAAATTTCAGAAACACTTTCTCAGTATGCTGTTTGGAGAACAAAACCACAGAATCTAAATAATTTGAATTCAAAATATAAATATGTGATTTTGACAGTTTAATAAGTTCAATTTTTCTTAAGCTAATAAAACAGATGACAAAAAGATAATTTCTGAAAGCAACTGGTAATACAGAAGAACTTTTTTTTCTTTCTAAATATATCTAAAATATGTGATGTGAACTTGAAATTCATTTTTTTCTTGTTTCTTCATAAGTGATTACCATCCTATGGGTAGGTTGATTTGTATTGTAATTGAAATGTAAGATCTGTTTTCACAAGCGAGTAGTCAGAATGAGCTGGAGTCCACTTTCCCTGTAGGAGAAATTAGCCCTGGGATCCTTCTAGGGAACTTTACTGTGGTGGCCTCTTGGCTGAAGAGAATCACTAACACTGGACCTG